GCCCCCGCCCCCGCCCCCGCCCCCGCCCCCGTACCTGTCCGACCGCGAGCACGGTGCGGCTGGTGGCGGCGGTGGCGCGGTCGGCGGCGCCCTGCGCGGCCGCCAGCTCGTCCCGCAGCGCGCGCTCGGTGTCCCGCAGCGTGGGGCGGCCCCCGCCCCCGTCCCGCCCCCGTACCTGTCCGACCGCGAGCACGGTGCGGCTGGTGGCGGCGGTGGCGCGGTCGGCGGCGCCCTGCGCGGCCGCCAGCTCGTCCCGCAGCGCGCGCTCGGTGTCCCGCAGCGTGGGGCGGCCCCCGCCCCGCCCCCGTCCCGCCCCCGTACCTGTCCGACCGCGAGCACGGTGCGGCTGGTGGCGGCGGTGGCGCGGTCGGCGGCGCCCTGCGCGGCCGCCAGCTCGTCCCGCAGCGCGCGCTCGGTGTCCCGCAGCGTGGGGCGGCCCCCGCCCCCGCCCCCGCCCCCGCCCCCGTACCTGTCCGACCGCGAGCACGGTGCGGCTGGTGGCGGCGGTGGCGCGGTCGGCGGCGGCGCGGCCGCCAGCTGCAGCGCGCGCTCGGTGTCCCCAGCTGGGGCGGCGCCCCCCCCAGCGCGCGCCGCGAGCACGGTGCGGCTGGTCCGCGGTCGGCAGCGTGTCCCGCAGCGCGCGCTCGGTGTCCCGCAGCGAGGGGCGGCCCCGCCCCCGCCCCCGCCCCCGTACCTGTCCGACCGCGAGCACGGTGCGGCTGGTGGCGGCGGTGGCGCGGTCGGCGGCGCCCTGCGCGGCCGCCAGCTCGTCCCGCAGCGCGCGCTCGGTGTCCCGCAGCGTGGGGCGGCCCCCGCCCCCGCCCCCGCCCCGCCCCCGTACCTGTCCGACCGCGAGCACGGTGCGGCTGGTGGCGGCGGTGGCGCGGTCGGCGGCGCCCTGCGCGGCCGCCAGCTCGTCCCGCAGCGCGCGCTCGGTGTCCCGCAGCGTGGGGCGGCCCCCGCCCCCGCCCCCGCCCCGCCCCCGTACCTGTCCGACCGCGCGACGTTTATAATAGCTACCTTTACACGTATGCTCTTACACGCGCGAATTGGTTCTCACGCAGGAAATAATTTGCGTGTAAACGTAAACGTGGACAAAGAGAACGAGAAAGACTGTGCGCGCCGCCAGTTCGTTCCTTTTAGTTTAAAAAAAACGAAACGCCCAAACACGCGAAAGAATCAATAAAGTAAAAGATTAAATTCCCGCGCAAAATCGCGCATGAAAGAAAGAATGTGTCGTGTAAAGGCAGCTATTATGCTATACAATCATGCCTATATCCGATATACGCGACAACGTCTCCCGAAGCACGTTCTTATTGATTCTGACGACACTATAACGATAGTTATTCTCACTACAGGTCCACCCGTACCGTCCCGAACAGACTATCACACACACACACGACACCGTCCTCGCCGACGAAGACGACGACCTCAACCAAACCATACCCCGCAATAAACCGGACGGCTGCGCGTGCCCGGGTGCTCCACACCAGTGCCCCTGACGCTCCTCCGATTCTCCCGTCCAATTTAAACCGGAATCGAAATTACGACCAATCGTATCCGTCAGGCGGGAGTTGACCTTTAGTCGCTCCATAAGTCCTTCCGCGAGTTTGGAGTGCCATCTGCACTCGCCCCTTACGTCCGATGAAGCTCTAAAGGCCAGCTGCGGCCAACAGCATTACAGTTGTCCGAAAAATAAAACATTAATTATAAAAATATATCGGCATGATTACGTTCTAATACATTGCATTTGATACGATATTACTGAACGTATTTATTAAAAAAAATACAGACGCAAAGAAGTAATATTGCCACCGAAAAAAAACTGCTCCAAATCATATATGTTTTACTTTTTTGCCTAGAAAAAGATTATAGTATAAATATATACATAAAAATACTTTACGTATAATAAAAAAAACTGACGCTAATAAGTTGTAATAAACAAACCAACATACCTGTGACTTCAGATCATTTAACCTCTTTTGTGCTTCGCCTTTTTGGTTTTCTAACTGTTTCAGTGTTGCCGTCAGTGTGTCCAGCTCACTCTGTTAAAAAACACATTCTTATCAATAAATTTTGTTTGACCTTAATCAGAATATTGTATACCAGTCAAGTCAGTCCAATGACTACTGTATGGTGTTTTATTAAAAAAATTGAGATATTTATATAAGTTGTCTCGTACAACATTTATTTGAAAAGAATAAGAGCTGAGTTTCTTGTCAGTTCTTCTCACCTGGAAATCATTCCGAACAGACAGTAAATTTGACATATCATAAGTCTGTAATAGACCTATATGATTAAAGATATTTTGTTTTTTTTAATGTCTCTTGGGCACAGGCCATGTTATATGCTGACAATGTGATTTCCTATACGAATTTCATTGCTATATATGTTAACATTTTTATTGAACTCTCTGTTCTCGATAATTCTGTGTGTGTATGAGTGTGATTGTGCATGTGTGCGTGCGTATGCGTGTATATGTAGTACCTGGAGGCCGTCTGCTTCCCCGCCTTTGACGGTGAGCTCCCGCTGCTTGGTGGCCAGCTCGGCCTCCAGCGAGAGCCGTTCTCTGGCCAGCGCGTCCACCTCCCGCGCGATCACCTCCATCTCAGGCGTCGGCTGCGGGCCCAGGCTCACCGGCTCGATCTTCTGTTAAACAATAATAATTTGCATCTTTAATTAAGTTTGGGGTATTACTCGGTGCTACAGAAACCTGTAGCACTGCGATCTGCATAGATCTACTACTCTTTCCCTATTTAAGAATTTTCTGTCTAGGCCCGTCAAAGATTCAAATTGAAGGATATTCTTAGGAACGATGATTTTTATCTTCCGAGGATAATTAAATTGCTTACTTAATAATACAAATGCAGACAATTTCTGATCACAAACTACAACGGAATGTATGCTATAAGGACTACACGCTCACTGTTTTCACTATAAATTCAAGAAATTGAATACAACCGTGCGAACTTCCTATATTTAATACTATAAAATTTATTTTATTTTATGGAGCAGTTTTTTGTCACGAATTTATTTTATATCGTTTTTTTTATGGAGCAGTCTGAAGCAAGGCGTAACATATACAGCTTATTTTATTTTTATAAATCTAGTTTTAATTCTTAATTTGAAATTCTTAATTCGAAAATAGGTGTCGATTACTTTTTGTTTGATGTTTTATTCGAAATGTTGAAATACTGCATTTTAATTTGTTTTCTATTTTTGACAGTCACCAAAATTGTAAATTGTGAAAACAAAATAAATATAACATTTTTCAATAAGAGTATTGTATATCAATTTGATTATGATTCTGGAGATAGTTCGGTTTACACCAGTAAGTTATATTTTTTCACAAAATTTTCAGATCGAAATTTTTCATAATTTACACTAGCAATACCGCATGTCATTACCCGCGTGGTTTCCAGCCTCTGTTACTAGTTAATGTGGAGTATTTAAATTGTAAATGTGCAACAATATTTAAAATTGATCAAGCTTTCTTTGATTATATCCGTTACAGAAATAAAAATGTTCAAATTTTTCATCTTTTTAATAATAGTATTTTAAAGGTTAATTCCTGGCAAAATTAAGATATTACTAATAATAATAGAAATAAATAATACGAGCTGAGTTTCTTGTCACTTCTTCTCGTCTTGAATTCAATCCGAACTTACGGTAGATTTGACATATCATACATAATATATACAGAAAGACCCGGACAACAATCATACTTATGAATACAAATTCGATCCTTTGAGAAATCGAACTCGCGACCGCCGGTAGGAAAGCTTTAGTTCACTTATAGTTGGTGACAAACGGAAATTAGATCATAGCTGAAAGCAATGGTAGGTGAATACATGTGTTTAGTTCATATAGTGGACTAGCTGTACCCGTGACGCATGTAATTTTACTTTATTAATCTAAAATTTTAAAAAAATTCTAAAATAAAAGTAGCTTAAGTTACTCCTTATTACTTCAGCTACCTGCCAATAAAAGTCTCGTCAAAATCGGTCCAGCCATTTCAGAGATTAGCCGGAACAAAGAGACTGACAAAAATTTTAAAAAATATTATTTTGGTGTATGCATTACATGCATGTAATAAGAAACGGTTATTTCAATATTACAAACAGGCACTCCAATTTTATATGTAAGTATAGATAACGCGACCGAGTTGGACCTGCCGTCCAAGAGTGTGGCGGCGTACGAAGGCGCCGTGGTCACCCTACACTGTGAAGTATACGTCGCCGACAAAAGAGAAGTCACATGGCACTACGCGAGAAATACTAAAGTACTATTCACTATCATTATTTTTTACAAGCGGTACCCGCGACTTCGTCCGCGTGGAATATTACTTTATTTTTCTAAAGTAAAAGTAGCCTAAGTTACTCCTTATTACATCAGCTACCTGCCAATAAAAGTCCAGTCAAAATCGGTCTAGCCGATGAACAAACAGACAGACAGACGAAAAAGTAAAAAATGTTGTTTTAGTGTATGTACCGTATTTATATTCATATGCATGTAGTAAAAAACAGTTATTTCAATATTACAAACAGATACTACAATTTTATTTATATGTATAGATATATGTTAGGGAAGAGGGAGTAGGAATTTTAGAAAGGCTAAGGTGGCATAGCTCTAAAAAGTTTGGGAAACACTGCTCTAGCTGATCATTAAGTTTTTTTTTTAATGTGTAATGGGACTGCCTGACAACCAGCGCTGTATAGGTGCACCTCATTAAGGTTGTGCTTATATCAGCAACAGCTGAGACAGCTCCTATTGCCAACTTTCTATATTATTATTTATTACTCATTTTGTGTCTTATTGTAAACTGTATTATTTGTGTTATGTTGGCAATAAATCTATTATCTATCTATCTATCATGTCGGAGAACATTGCGGGTTTAAAGAGGTCTTTAGAGCAGCAGCTTTAAGAATCAAAATTACCATGATGTTGATGTTTCAGTCTTTATATAACCTGACATTCAACCTTGTTCATGGAGACACTATGGTCCAGGACGCGTATGGTCACTTGACAGTATACCAAATGACATCAAACGACGCCGGCGTGTACCGTTGCCAGGCTGGAAACAGTATTGGTGGTCTTGTAATATTAGAAGTGGTCGCAGACACCGACCGGTATACCGTCGTTAGTATATTTACGTAATTGGATAGGCTACCGGCCCACCTGACGATAAGTGGTGCATGAAGAGCGCCAAGAACATCATTATCATGTGATATCTGCAGGACATCCATGCGTTGACATTTTAAAGAATTTTAATATATGCTCTGCTCATATTGAACTACATGGTCGTGTGTGAATTGTCCTGAGATATTATTATATTGTAGAGCGGTGGTTATCACCTCACCACTGTAGTCTTATATATGATGTGATGAGGTGTCGCTACATAATATATTGTTTGGGGGGAAGGGAATTGTTAGTAATGTGGATTGATAACCCCATTGCTAGCAATGTATCTTGTCAGGTTGACCTCCACGCGGTTCCCCCTGGAAACCATCGTGTTAAATTCATGGTGAATTTGTCACGATGGGCTAACTGACCTGACCTCATGTTCATCTTATCATCCTCCACTGGTGCCCCGCCAGCGTAAACCGTTAGCGCAGGCGGGTGCATCATTCCATTATCATCCACAAAAAAAAAAAATATATTGTTTATTGTAGTATGTAGGTAGTGAGTATATTGTACATTGTGTGCGCTGCATGGTGCGGGTGACAGTTATAAATTTTACATTTAACATTTGCTACATTTAAGTTATCACCTCACCACTGTAGTCTTATATATGATGTGATGAGGTGTCGCTACATAATATATTGTTTATTGTAGTATGTAGGTAGTGAGTATATTGTACATTGTGTGCGCTGCATGGTGCGAGTGACAGTTATAAATTTTACATTTAACAATTGCTACATTTAAGTTATCACCTCACCACTTTAGTCTTATATATGATGTGATGAGGTGTCGCTACATAATATATTGTTTATTGTAGTATGTAGGTAGTGAGTATATTGTACATTGTGTGCGCTGCATGGTGCGGGTGACAGTTATAAATTTTACATTTAACATTTGCTACATTTAAGTTATCACCTCACCACTTTAGTCTTATATATGATGTGATGAGGTGTCGCTACATAATATATTGTTTATTGTAGTATGTAGGTAGTGAGTATATTGTACATTGTGTGCGCTGCATGGTGCGAGTGACAGTTATAAATGTTACATTTAACAATTGCTACATTTAAGTTATCACCTCACCACTGTAGTCTTATATATGATGTGATGAGGTGTCGCTACATAATATATTGTTTATTGTAGTATGTAGGTAGTGAGTATATTGTACATTGTGTGCGCTGCATGGTGCGGGTGACAGTTATAAATTTTACATTTAACATTTGCTACATTTAAGTTATCACCTCACCACTGTAGTCTTATATATGATGTGATGATGTGTCGCTACATAATATATTGTTTATTGTAGTATGTAGGTAGTGAGTATATTGTACATTGTGTGCGCTGCATGGTGCGGGTGACAGTTATAAATTTTACATTTAACATTTGCTACATTTAAGTTATCACCTCACCACTGTAGTCTTATATATGATGTGATGATGTGTCGCTACATAATATATTGTTTATTGTAGTATGTAGGTAGTGACTATATTGTACATTGTGTGCGCTGCATGGTGCGGGTGACAGTTATAAATTTTACATTTAAGTTAATACAGTTATTAATGATTTAATATATTACGAATGTGGTACAGCTGAAATACTAAGTCATAATTTGTAAATCGCGGCCACTTTTTAGAGTGAAACGAAACGTTAATCAAACTGTCACCCACACCATGCTATAGCGCACATGGTATACTTACATTTAACAATTGCTACATTTAAGTTAATGCAGTTATTAATGATTTAATATATTACGAATGTGCTGCAGCTGAAATACTAAGTCATAATTTGTAAATCGCGGCAACTTTTAAGAGTGAAACGAAACGTTAATCAAACTGTCACCCACACCGTGCTATAACGCACATGGTATACTAACATTTAACAATTGCTACATTTAAGTTAATGCAGTTATTAATGATTTAATATATTACGAATGTGGTACAGCTGAAATACTAAGTCATAATTTGTAAATTGCGGCAACTTTTAAGAGTGAAACGAAACGTAATCAAACTGTCACCCACACCATGCTATAACGCACATGGTATACTAACATTTAACAATTGCTACATTTAAGTTAATGCAGTTATTAATGATTTAATATATTACGAATGTGGTACAACTGAAATACTAAGTCATAATTTGTAAATCGCGGCAACTTTTAAGAGTGAAACGAAACGTAATCAAACTGTCACCCACACCATGCTATAACGCACATGGTATACTAACATTTAACAATTGCTACATTTAAGTTAATGCAGTTATTAATGATTTAATATATTACGAATGTGGTACAGCTGAAATACTAAGTCATAATTTGTAAATCGCGGCAACTTTTAACAGTGAAACGAAACGTAATCAAACTGTCACCCACACCATGCTATAGCGCACATGGTATACTAAGTATATTAGATAGTGTGCTACATGGCTTATTAGTAACGCGTTCAATCGACGCGGAGTCGGGACGTGGACTGATTTACACTGAACTTAAATATACGTTAATGAAGACGTAAACGAATGGAAGGGTCTCAGGTATTGACAGAAATATTACAAATGTGGGCGTAATACCATTGTAGGTAAAACCCCATAGCTCTAAAGGCCCGTACGGGTCATCGGAGCACGTATTAGAAGCGTACAATCTGAAATTGTTCACTTATTGGTCCGCATGGAGCGAGTGCAGTGCGTGCGGACATGTGGGAAGGAGACGACGATATGGCATGTGCTATGTTACACTAGCTAACCATCGGGTACGAACATATACGAGTATATACTATCTCACTCGTCCAACTTCGTCTGCATCAAATTTTCCCCGTTTTTGCGACATTTTTCAATGCAGCTCCACTTCTGTTGGTCCTAGCATTTACACGCCTATGACAATCACAAGTAACGTGTCTTTCTATTGATTGAAGAATTTTCAAAATCGGTTCTGTAGTAATTATAAATTTAATTATCTTTACAAGTTTAAGTTAGTAGATAAGTAAGAAATGATAGATATGTCCTACAACCTTTACCTTTTCATAAGATTAGAATTTATAAATCAAGGAGGTATTTGAGTTTGTTTATTATGTAAGGCAATCTCGGATACTACTGATCCGATTTTGAAAATCCTTTTAGTGTTGTATAGCCCAATTATCAAAGAAGGCAGTAGGCTATATAAAATCACGCTACGCGATACCAATAGGCGCGGAGCTGCGTGAAAAAATTTGCAAGAATGGGAAAATGTAACGCAGACGAATTAAATTATATGTTATAACTAGTTATGATAATAGTAATAATAATGTTATGTATGCGTGCCCTAACAGGGTCATGATCGAAAACTAATTATAAACATCTTTCATTGTAATATTATGGAATGCAATAAATATTGAGTATTGAGTATTGAGTTCATTCATTCATTCATAATTTAAGAGCTACGCTCTTGTCGGTGGAGCTCTTGTCACTTGAGTATTGAGTAAGTTGCATAATACAGTTTTATTACCTCCGATCGATTCCCCGTCCAATTCCAACGAGGATCAAAATAACGACGACCTGAGCCGAGGTTCGAACCCCAAAAACCCTTGCAATACCCTCAGACTAAATCGGTAGCTTGTACATGTTTACAAAAATACAGATTCATTTTTAAATTCAAATTTGGGACAATAGAGTGACCACTAGCATATAAAAAACATACATCTGTCTGTTTTAGGTTAAAACCAAGAAAAGAGCATATAATCAAACATCAACAATGAATAATTATTCAAAATTATTTCAAGGTAATATATTTTCATTTATTCAAAATTGCTTTACCTATTAATACATTTAGTTACAAACTTGCAGTGTTTCCGGGTGGACTACCTTGTCGATCCAAGTTTCTCCCGCGGTATATACGAAATATCCCGACCGTTCAGAACAGGAAGAACGAAATCATGATCGGCATGTGCAAGGTATGTTATATGCAAATGAAGTTTAAGATAAGGAAGGGGTTAATATACATATATTTTTCACAGAATTCATTTATTTGAAAAAAGTCCCAGCAAATAGAAATTAGCATATTTCCATTTATAGCATGGGTTCCATGGAGTCTTTGCGAGAGTGCTTTAAGGAATCAAATATCCTCACCGTTGCTTGTCAATATATTTATGAAAATATCATGTATGCCAGGAAGAATATAGACAGTTTCAAAAGAGTTAGTGATTGCACTAATAAAAGCTTACGTAACAATAACAAACTGATTTTACCTAAATGTCGTTTGGCTAAAGTTAGTAATTCGTTTTATGGCAATTGCGTAAGATTTTACAATAAAATACCAGAGTCTGTTATAAATCTGCCAGAAAAAAGAATTAAATGTCAAATAAAACACTTCCTTTGCAAAAAAGCTTACTATAAAATTGAAGAATTCGTTAACGATAATAATGTTTTTGTAGAAAAATTTTAAATACATAGCACTGACAATATTATCTGATTACACTAATAATGAGTGCGTAGCGATTTCTATGTTGATTATCGCATGCCTCTTACTTGTTACACTGTAATTATTTATATAAAAAAATATCTATTAAATAGAGCAACACACAAGTTTCTTGCTCATTCTTCTTGTAATGAATCTGCATTCCGAATGAGTGGTAGAATCAAAATATGACTATTCAAAAGTGCTTGTAATGAGTTTATTTGAATAAAGATTATTTGTATTTCTATTTCCTTCGAATTCACGCAATTTGACGGCCTCGGTGGTCTTGCTGTTTAGGAGTGTTACCTTACTTCCGATGGTCGCGGGTTCGATTCCTCGCACGGCACAAACATATGTATTCATATGTTTGTGCCGTGCGTATGATTGTTTGTATCCGGTGTTTTCTATGTATAACATGTATATATTTACGAAAAAAAAAGTATCTATGTATTTGTATCAGTTATCTAGTACCCATAACAAAAGCTTTAGTTGACGTAACTTGGGTCTGAATGGCGCTGTGTGAATTTTCCTGAGATTAGCTTAGCGGCAGTTTTAAACTGTCTGAATCGTCTTGTCATATATTTTATTATTTCAATATTTATTTTTTATTATATCATTTATTTAAAACATAAACATAATAATAGGTATTATTTGAGCTTGTGTGTAACAGCTTAGACCACAGCATCACTTAACATCAGGTGAGATTGCGGTCAAAAACGCTCAAATTATGATAAAAAAAAAAAATTACAAAACTACTGAACAAACGATGACATCCACAGAAATATAAAACTGTATTGCGAATATCGACACCATTCTACGAGTTTATATAATTCCAAAAAATATGTTATAACGTTACCTACGTCTAATAAAAATTATTTTTAATTAAAATTTATCAAAAGAAAGAAGACAATAAAGTTATAAACTGGGATGTAATGTATATGAAATTTCGGATACGGATAAGTTTCGCATAGGAATGATTATTATACGGATACGGATACGGATATGAAATTATTTCGGATTATCCGTTAGTTTCGGATAATTTCGGTTACGGATATAATTTTTTAAGGAATTTCAAAAATAAAATACAAATAGCTAATAAAATGGTTACATAACGTGTCTCAATTAGGCTCCGCCCCTATCCGATATTGTCAGATACTTTTATTTCGGATTAGGTTATGTAGATTAGGAGCTCCCTAACATCCCGGGTTATAAATAATAAAAAATAATGTGAAAGTGTGGAGATATTCAAGTCGTTTATGTCTGCGAGGATAAATGAAGTAATTTCAATTATAAAATGTCTACTCAGGTGGCATGCAGTACTAGCAGCACATTGGTCCTGACGAGAGGCGTCAGTGGGCTGTCCAGGGCTTGGCAGACGGCGGGGCGCCGTTGGCCGGCGGTGCAACGTATTATTTTTGCACCAGTCGGATCCCCACTCATTATACGCTGCCCGGGGTAATGTTTGTCATAAAAAAATTACATAAATTTCACTATATCCCAATTTTTGTTCATTCAGTTATCCATAATTTAGCGAGCCGTCCCAATTTCACACGGATAGGTACATCGCAAATCTTTAAATTTCTCGGTTTGTTCTATAACCGTGTTTCCTAACCTTTTTAATGGCAGGCCCTTATCCTACTTTCTAAAATTCTTATAAGCTTATATTCCCCCCATATTACATACGTAATTTATAACATTAAAACAATAAATTGTTTCAGGAAGAAATCACAAACTTATTCATAAGACAGTAAAAAACTTCATGAAATTTGATATTCACATTCCATATGCTTTTAATAAAGAATCCATTTTCAAATTGGCCGCCTTTGGGGAATGCCAGAAACACTGATCTATACTATATAACACGCATTTATTGTACACTAGCTGTCCCGGCAAACGTTGTTTTGCCATATAAATTAATAACGCTATAAAAAAATAGGGGTTGATGATAGAAGGGTGAAAATTTAGGATTGAATGTATTTTTGTATGTTGTATCATAAAAAAATAGAAACTAAAAATTTTGTCTAAGAAATAAAAAAAAAAATTTAGGGGTGGACTTCACCTAACATTTAGGGGGATGAAAAATAGATGTTGGCCGATTCTCAGACCTACTCAATACGCTCACAAAATTTCATAAGAATCGGTCATGCCGTTTCGGAGGAGTATGGGAACGAAAACTGTGACATGAGAATTTTATATATAAGATATAAATCTCTTGAATCACTATCTATTGCTGAAAACTGCATTAAAATCTCAGACCTACTCAATACGCTCACAAAATTTCATAAGAATCGGTCAAGCCGTTTCGGAGGAGTATGGGAACGAAAACTGTGACACGAGAATTTTATATATAAGATATAAATCTCTTGAATCACTATCTATTGCTGAGAACTGCATTAAAATCCGTTGAGGAATTTAAGTTTATTTGCATTGTTACTTATATAAATGCCTATGTCTAACGTTAAATGAAAATCCCGTGCATGAACAACTATTGCCATACACGTTTGTCATTTAAGTAATCCTTTATTGAGTAAAAGGGTACTTCAATATCATATCGAAGGCAAGTAGCCTTCGATATGATATTGAAGTACCCTGTTTAATACACACGGCTGTTGATACAGATCTGCCCTCCGTGATATGCCGCTATCATGGCGCGTGGGTACCAGTAGAGTTTGCCCAGCGAGACTGCGTGAGAACAGCGGCGGGAGGCTGCATCTCAATGCGAGGGATCATATAGTTATTTCTACTCTACAACCCACCGACAGCGCCCTCTACAGGTCACTTGTATTTTTTATTTTATTGTAGTAAAACTCGCTCTTCTGTAGATCTCGAATATTTCCTAACTAGACACACGTAACCTCTAGGTGAACTGTTTTAGTTAGACTCGCTCTTATGACTTTTCAAAGACCTAGATGCAGACTTCATATCGTATCGTAGAAATAAAGAGACAAAAACTAATTTACATATTCTTCTAAATGAATTTCAACAATTCATTTAAATACTTTAAAAAAGGAAAGAGACTATCTACTATCTATCTTTAACCAAAACTTTCTGGAGTTTATCCGGCTCGAAGGACCATATATTTTTATATGGTCCTTCGAGCCGGATAACTCAAGAGCTTTATTTATCGACAGCTGTTGGGAGAACGGTGACCTAGCGGGTACAGTGAAGTTGGTGGTATGGGATGGTGCTGCGCCCCGCTGGAACCACCGCAACTGTCTCATAACTTTGGTTTGCGGAGCTACGTTTGCATGGAGACTTGCACTTAGAGCGCTGCGTAATAAGCGACGCACGATACGCTGAATTATTCCTTTATGGTTTTACTCTGAATTCGTTAATTTTTATAACTAAGTTGATACCTCACCTATATGCGATGTGTCACTTAATGTGTGCGGTACATGTATAAATGTTATGTTCTCGAATTAATTTAAACGTTTGTTTATTTATTACAAGCGATACGATATCTTAATAAGTGTTCGAGTCATTTCAGTTTTTGTTGAATAAAAGCAATTTATAACCTAAATTTGCCTTTTATATTAAATATCTTTTCTTACACCTCCTCTAGAGTTTTGATACTCAACACTTTAGCCTCTCAAGTGAGGATGAGTGTTATAGTATATTTAGATGTTCACATTGTATTCAAGTCTATAGGCGACAAATTATCAAATCCTAAAAATATTGCTAAAAATATGAATTACACATTGTAACAAAATTTTCTGAAAAGATCAACCAATCAACCATTCTCGCGGACGATGTAAATTCGTTGAGTTCGAATGTAGGTCACCACACGCAGTACGTAATGTGCACGTACCTGGGGCGCGGCGAAGTTTGCGAATCCGGTGTCGGGGGCGGCGGGCGCGCGGCACGACGGCGGCACCATGTCGGGCGCCAGCGCGGCCGGCGGGGGCTCCCCGCGCAGCGCGCGCCGCACCAGCCACATCGACAGCGCGAACTGCTCGCGGGACAGCAGGCCCGCGCCGCCCGTGTCGCACAGCGCCCTGCACACACACACACACACACACACACACTCACACCGGCCACATCGACAGCGCGAACTGCTCGCGGGACAGCAGGCCCGCGCCGCCCGTGTCGCACAGCGCCCTGCACACACACACACACACACACACTCACACCGGCCACATCGACAGCGCGAACTGCTCGCGGGACAGCAGGCCCGCGCCGCCCGTGTCGCACAGCGCCCTGCACACACACACACACACACACACACACACACACACACACACACACACACACACACACACACACTCACACCGGGCACATCGACAGCGCGAACTGCTCGCGGGACAGCAGGCCCGCGCCGCCCGTGTCGCACAGCGCCCTGCACACACACACACACACACACACACACACACACTCACACCGGCCACATCGACAGCGCGAACTGCTCGCGGGACAGCAGGCCCGCGCCGCCCGTGTCGCACAGCGCCCTGCACACACACACACACACACACACACACTCACCCCGGCCACATCGACAGCGCGAACTGCTCGCGGGACAGCTGGCCCGCGCCGCCCGTGTCGCACAGCGCCCTGCACACACACACACACACACACACACACACACACACACACACACACACACACACACACACACCGGCCACATCGACAGCGCGAACTGCTCGCGGGACAGCAGGCCCGCGCCGCCCGTGTCGCACAGCGCCCTGCACACACACACACACACACACACACACACACACACACACACACACACACACACACTCACACCGGCCACATCGACAGCGCGAACTGCTCGCGGGACAGCAGGCCCGCGCCGCCCGTGTCGCACAGCGCCCTGCACACACACACACACACACACACACACACACACACCGGCCACATCGACAGCGCGAACTGCTCGCGGGACAGCAGGCCCGCGCCGCCCGTGTCGCACAGCGCCCCACACACACACACACACACACACACTCACACCGGCCACATCGACAGCGCGAACTGCTCGCGGGACAGCAGGCCCGCGCCGTCCACACACACACGTGCACGCGTGCTGCCCGCACAGCGCCCTGCACACACACACACACACACACACACACACACTCACACCGGCCACATCGACAGCGCGAACTGCTCGCGGGACAGCAGGCCCGCGCCGCCCGTGTCGCACAGCGCCCTGCACACACACACACACACACACACACTCACACCGGCCACATCGACAGCGCGAACTGCTCGCGGGACAGCAGGCCCGCGCCGCCCGTGTCGCACAGCGCCCTGCACACACACACACACACACACAGTGCACGCGTGCTGCCCGCGCAGCCGCTCCACCACTGCACGCACACACACACACACACACACACACACACACACACACACACACACACACACACACACACACACACACTCACACCGGCCACATCGACAGCGCGAACTGCTCGCGGGACAGCAGGCCCGCGCCGCCCGTGTCGCACAGCGCCCTGCACACACACACACACACACACACACACACACACACACACACACACACACACACACACACACACACACCGCACACACACACACACACACACACACACACACACACTCACACCGGCCACATCGACAGCGCGAACTGCTCGCGGGACAGCAGGCCCGCGCCGCCCGTGTCGCACAGCGCCCTGCACACACACACACACACACACACTCACACACACACACACACACACACACACACACACACACACACACACACACACACACACACACACACACACACACACTCACACGGGCCACTTCGACAGCGCGACCTGCTCGCGGCACAGCAGGCCCGCGCCGCCCGTGTCGCACAGCGCCACACACACACACACACACACACACACACACACACACACACACACACACACACACACACACACACACTCACACCGGCCACATCGACAGCGCGAACTGCTCGCGGGACAGCAGGCCCGCGCCGCCCGTGTCGCACAGCGCCCTGCACACACACACACACACACACACACACACACACACACACTCACACCGGCCACATCGACAGCGCGAACTGCTCGCGGGACAGCAGGCCCGCGCCGCCCACACACACACACACACACACACACACACACTCACACCGGCCACATCGACCGCGCGAACTGCTCGCGGGACAGCAGGCCCGCGCCGCCCGTGTCGCACAGCGCCCTGCACACACACACACACACACACACACACACACACACTCACACCGGCCACATCGACCGCGCGAACTGCTCGCGGGACAGCCGGCCCGCGCCGCCCGTGTCGCACAGCGCCCTGCACACACACACACACACACACACACACTCACACCGGCCACATCGACAGCGCGAACTGCTCGCGGGACAGCAGGCCCGCGCCGTCCGTGTCGCACAGCGCCCTGCACACACACACACACACACACACTCACACCGGCCACATCGACAGCGCGAACTGCTCGCGGGACAGCAGGCACGCGCCGCCCGTGTCGCACACACACACACACACACACACACACACACACACACTCACACCGGCCACATCGACAGCGCGAACTGCTCGCGGGACAGCAGGCCCGCGCCGCCCGTGTCGCACAGCGCCCTGCACACACACACACACACACACACACACACTCACACCGGGCACATCGACAGCGCGAACTGCTCGCGGGACAGCAGGCCCGCGCCGCCCGTGTCGCACAGCGCCCTGCACACACACACACACACACACACTCACACCGGCCACATCGACAGCGCGAACTGCTCGCGGGACAGCAGGCCCGCGCCGCCCGTGTCGCACAGCGCCCTGCACACACCCACACACACACACACACACCCCGGCCACATCGACAGCGCGAACTGCTCGGGACACACACACGCGCCGCCCGTGTCGCACAGCGCCGCGCTGCACACACACACACACACACACACACACTCACACCGGCCACATCGACAGCGCGAACTGCTCGCGGGACAGCAGGCCCGCGCCGCCCGTGTCGCACAGCGCCCTGCACACACACACACACACACACACACACACACACCGGGCCACATCGACAGCGCGAACTGCTCGCGGGACAGCAGGCCCGCGCCGCCCGTGTCGCACAGCGCCCTGCACACACACACACACACACACACACACACTCACACCGGCCACATCGACAGCGCGAACTGCTCGCGGGACAGCAGGCCCGCGCCGCCCGTGTCGCACAGCGCCCTGCACACACACACACACACACACACACACACACTCACACCGGGCACATCGACAGCGCGAACTGCTCGCGGGACAGCTGGCCGGCGCCGCCCGTGTCGCACAGCGCCCTGCACACACACACACACACACACTCACACCGGCCACATCGACAGCGCGAACTGCTCGCGGGACACACACACACACGCGCCGCCCGTGTCACACACACACACACACACACACACACTCACACCGGCCACATCGACAGCGCGAACTGCTCGCGGGACACACACCCGCGCCGCCCGTGCGCACAGCGCCCTGCACACACACACACACACACACACTCACACCGGCCACATCGACAGCGCGAACTGCTGAATATTGTGCGTGGAGCACTGGATTGACGCACACACACACACACACACACACACACACTCACACCGGCCACATCGACAGCGCGAACTGCTCGCGGGACAGCAGGCCCGCGCCGCCCGTGTCGCACAGCGCCCTGCACACACACACACACACACACACACTCACACCGGCCACATCGACAGCGCGAACTGCTCGCGGGACAGCAGGCCCGCGCCGCCCACACACACACACACACACACACACACACTCACACCGGCCACATCGACAGCGCGAACTGCTCGCGGGACAGCAGGCCCGCGCCGCCCGTGTCGCACAGCGCCCCGCACACACACACACACACACACACACACACACTCACACCGGCCACATCGACAGCGCGAACTGCTCGCGGGACAGCAGGCCCGCGCCGCCCGTGTCGCACAGCGCCCTGCACACACACACACACACACACACCCTCACACCGGCCACATCGACAGCGCGAACTGCTCGCGGGACAGCAGGCCCGCGCCGCCCGTGTCGCACAGCGCACACACACACACACACACACACACTCACACCGGCCACATCGACAGCGCGAACTGCTCGCGGGACAGCAGGCCCGCGCCGCCCGTGTCGCACAGCGCCCTGCACACACACACACACACACACACACACACACACCCCACATCGACAGCGCGAACTGCTCGCGGGACAGCAGGCCCGCGCCGCCCGTGTCGCACAGCGCCCTGCACACACACACACACACACACACACACACACTCACACCGGCCACATCGACACGCGAACTGCTCGCGGGACAGCACACGCCGTCCGTGTCGCACACACACACACACACACACACACACACACTCACACCGGCCACATCGACAGCGCGAACTGCTCGCGGGACAGCAGGCCCGCGCCGCCCGTGTCGCACAGCGCCCTGCACACACACACACACACACACAGTGCACG